GCTTTTATGGTTTTCCCGGCTAACTAACTTCTAAACTAACCAATGAGCTGAGGCCAGGTGGATTCTAGAATGATCCGTCCCACTTGTTCATAACAGAAGCATAATTCTGTTTGGAGCCAAGAAAAACGTGTTTCCTGAATCACGCCTTCCCTTTCTTCGGTTTGATCAATCGCGCCATCCTTTTGCCGTAGACCACGCCTTCACCTTTCTTTAAGCTGAACTGGAAAGACTTCTGCACTCCATGACAGTACCCCCTCCTTCACAAATATCTTGTCCTCAAGATTGAAACTGGGGAAACTGCTTCTCAATATCCTCTGCGAATTCCCATGTTGCCTCTGCTGGATCTGTTCCCCACCAGTGAATCAGCCATTGTACTGCAGCAGCATTCCCTTTCTTGACTATTCTCCTATCCAGCACTGCTACGGGCTCTACCCTCAAGTGCCCTTTTCCATCGACTTCCGGTAGCTGTAAAATAGGTGTAGTCTGTTCTCCAACTTTTTTCTTCAGTAGTGAGACATGAAAAACAGGATGTATTTTGGACCCTGTTGGCAGCTTCAGCATGTAAGCAACCTCTCCAATCTTTTTTATTACTTCAAAGGGCCCATAGTAACGTGCTGATAGCTTGGTGTTGCTCCTCATAGCTACAGAATTTTGCCTGTAAGGTTGTAGTCTTAAGTATACCCAGTCTCCAATTTCAAATCTCCTTTCACTCCTCCTTTCATCTGCATACCTTTTCATCCTTTCCTGAGCCTGTGCTAGATTCTGTTTTAGTGCAATGTCGACCTTATGCCTTTCCCTTAGATAGTCTCCAACTACAGCCACCTTGGCCTGAGTGTAGGGTCCCAGGGCCATCTGTGGAGGCGCCTGCCCATACAGAGCTTCAAAGGGTGTCATTTGAATAGCTGTGTGGTGACTGGTATTATACCACCATTCTGCCATGGCCAACCAGTGGTTCCACTTCTTTGGTTCTAGATGGGAGAAACATCTGAGGTACATTTCCAGTACCTGATTCACTCTTTCTGTCTGGCCATCAGATTGTGGGTGATAAGCTGTGCTGAGGTCCAGTGTAGCTCCCAGTAGTGTAAATATCTCACTCCAAAACAGACTGGTGAAGATTCTATCCCTGTCTGATAGCATGCTTTGGGGTATTCCATGTAACCTGACTATCCCATCCAAGAATATTCTAGCAATTTTTGGGGCATCAAAGGGGTGCGATATACTCAGGAAGTGAGCATACTTGGTGTACCTATCTACTACTACCATGATGGTGTCTTTTCCCTCTGAGTTAGGTAACCCTTCAATGAAATCCATGGTGACATGGCTCCAGGGAGACTGTGGGACTGGCAGTGGCTGCAGTAACCCTGGATATGACACATGCTCATCCTTACATTTCTTGCAGACATCACATTCCAAAATAGCTGTCTTAATGTCCCTGTGCATACCTGGCCAGTAGAACAGCTGTTTAGCCCTCAGAAAGCTAGCTTGTATGCCAGAATGTCCCCCTAACTGTGAGCCATGTAGAGTGCTGATCAGTTTCTTTCTTATCTCTCCCCCAGATCCCACAGCTATTCTTCCTTTGAACTTCAGAACATCATTATGGTAGCTGAGGTTAGGGACTTGATCTGGTTTCAGCAACACCTCCCTGATGCTATCTTGTGCCCAATCATCCCCTTGGTAGCTGCTAATCACTTCTTTGATCCATTCTGGCACTACAGTTGATATTGCAGTACAGTCCATTCCTTGATCACCTCTCCTAGACAAAGCATCTGCCACTACATTCTCTTTACCCTTCCTGTAGTGGATCTCATAGCTCAGCCCCATGAGTTTAGTTAGCCATTTTTGCTGCAGGGGGGTGGTAATTCTTTGCTCTAATAGGTACTTCAAACTCTGATGATCTGTGTTGATGATGAAGTGTTGACCCTCCAAATAGTGTCTCCACTTGGTGACTGCTGTGACAAGAGCCAGTAGCTCCTTCTCGTAGATGGATAACCCCATATTCTTTGGTCCCAACCCCTGACTGATGTAAGCTATTGGTCTCTTGTTCTGCATGAGGACTGCCCCTATGCCCTTGTAGCAGGCATCAGTCTCTACCACAAAAGGTTGGTTGAAATCAGGTAAGGCCAGAACAGGAGTGTCACTCATGGCCCCTTTGAGCTTCTGAAAAGCTTCCTCAGCTTCTCCTCCCCACTGGAAGCTGTCCTTCTTGAGCAGTGCAGTCAAAGGCTTGGCTATGCTGCCATACCCCTTGACAAACCTCCTATAATATCCAGTTAGGCCTAGGAATCCCCTCAGTTGTTTAACATTCTCTGGTCTAGGCCATTTCACCATTCCCTCTATCTTCCCAGGGTCAGCCTTCACCCCCTCCTCTGTGATGATGTGCCCCAAGTACTCCACCTGTGCCTGAGCAAAAGCACATTTGCTCCTTTTGGCGTACAGCTGGTGCCTCCTGAGGATATCCAGAACCTCTGCCACATGCTTCAGATGCTCCTGTAAACTTGAGCTATATATTAAGATGTCATCAAAAAATACCAGTACTGATTTCCTCAGCTGTTTTTGGAACACATCATTCATTAAGCCTTGGAAAGTAGCAGGGGCATTGGTTAGCCCAAATGGCATCACCTTGAACTCATAGAGTCCCTGATGGGTTCTGAATGCAGTCTTGGGTATGTCTTCAGTCTTGACCCTGATTTGGAAGTACCCTGCTCTCAGGTCAATCTTGGTGAAGTACCTGGATCCATTCAACTCATCCAGGAGCTCATCAATAAGGGGTATTGGGTATTTGCTCTTCACTGTAAGCTCATTCAATTGTCTATAGTCTACACAAAACCTCCAGGTGCCATCCTTCTTTTTAACTAGTAGTACAGGGGATGCAAAGGGGCTGTTACTAAGCTGGATGATGCCATTTCCCAGCATCTCCTGCACTAGTTTCTCAATTTCAGACTTCTGGACGTAGGGGCATCTGTAAGGTCTTATCTGGAAGGGCTTGGATCCCTCTTTCAAGGTGATAGAATGGTCATGACTCCTTTCAGGGGGTAGTCCCTGAGGTTCCCTGAACACATCCTCAAACTCCTGCAGTACCCTCCCCATTTCTGGGGGTATGGCTTCAGTTTCTGGTACCTCCTCAGTTACTGCTTTTAACTGAGCCAGGATCCCATAGGTTTGTTTCCTAGCCCACTTGTGCAGTCTACTACCTTTTATCAGCTTTAATTGCACCTGGTGACCCTCCCCCTTCAACTCCACTTGTTGTTTCCCTTTTTTGAACCTCACCCTCAGCCCTTGGAAGTCAAATTCCATGGGACTGAACCTGGCCAGCCAGTCTACCCCTAATACCATATCACAACCCCCCAACTTCAAGGTATTGAACTGGTGTTGAAACTCATATCCCTGCATTTTCCAGACCACTGGCTTAACTAGGCCCCTGGACTGAATCTTCTCTCCATTAGCTACCCTGACCATTAGGGAGGGTCCACTGCTGATTAGGCCTAGGCTTTTGGCCAGTTGTTCATCCAAAAAACAGTGAGTACTTCCACTGTCAATCAATGCAGTGACAGTTCTCCCTTTTATGGTCCCCCTCAGTTTAATTGTTCTATGCTCCCCACCCCCAGCCAATGCATGCACAGAAACCTCTATGTGTTCATCCTCCAGTCGACCCTCAATGCAGTCACAGAATACTTCAGGGTCAGTCTCCTTTTCCTCCTCAGTGGATGCAGAGTCCCCCTTTTCATCAGTGACTAGCAAAAAGTGAATGTGGGATTGCTTACACACATGGCCAAGTGTGTAGGGTTCAGCACACTTATAGCATAGTCCCTTCTCTCTTCTGAGGTTGTACTCACTAGGGGTGATCCTCCTGAATTGGTTCTGGTTGCTGTTTGGATATTTATGGTTTTTGATGGGGTGTTTGTCTGACGTTCTGGGAGCAGCAGAGCTCCCCTGGTTATGGCTTGGGGTGTGGAATGGGGCTTTGTGTGTATGAATAGTGCTGGGTAGGCCTTTATGTATTTTCTGCATGGCTTTTAAATTTTTTTCTTGTAACTTAGCTGCTTCTATTGCATCAGCCAGAGTTAGGGGCTTGGCCATTTTTACCATGTTAACTATTTCTTCCTTCAAGCCACTTAGAAAACATGTTTTATAGTAAGAGTCAGCCAAATGAGGGAGTGAAGGCATTACCAGTGCTTTGAGCAGCTCAAACTTTTCCAGGTAGTCAGCAACAGATCCCTCCTGATTGAGTTTGTTGAATTCTTCAATGGCCTCCTCTGGCGTGCCTTCACCAAATCTCGCACATAATGCAGTGGCAAATTCAGCCCATGGAATGACTCCCCTGCCACTGAATACTCCATGGAACCAGGTATCAGCCCTGTCTCTTAGGTACAGCTCAGCAATCTCAGACTTCATGTTTTCTTCCACTCCATTGATCTTAAAATACTTGTTAGCTTTGCGGATCCACTCCCTTGGATTATCTCCTGTAAAGTTAGGCAGCTCCATCTTAGGCACCCTGGTGTAAGATCTGCTCTCCTTCCAATCTGATCTGCCCTGACCTTCCCCTTGTGTTTCTCCTTTCCTGGGGCCTACTATCGAACTGCTACTTTCTGTATCCTTATCCTTGCCATTCAACTTGGCCATCATCTGAGCCATCATAGACATCATGCTCTCATACTTTTGGTCCAGATTTTTGAGGGTCCTTTCCGTACCTTCTTGCCTGTGTTCTAGTACCTTGACCACACTTCCTAGCTCAGACAGATCCTTCTTCAATGCTTCATCTTGTGACTTAGCCATCCCAATGGCTCGTAGCTGAGCTCTGATACCACTGTAATGGTACAGAACCAGTTGGAGGCAATGGTGACAGATTTGTTGCAGAAAGCAGTAAACTATTGCTCAATAGAAATGGAGTAGAATTGGTATTGAAAATGATTTGGTAATTCAATTTCTTAATATGAATGAATACAGACTGGAAACAATGGATTCAGAGATAGAAGGGGGAAAAGAGTGAAGGAATGAAACGTGAGAGGGAGGGAGGGAGATTGGCAGAGCCAATCTTTCTTTACAAGTAATTGGACAAATGACAAAATGCTACCTATCACTAAGATTTCTTCTGCTTTTATGGTTTTCCCGGCTAACTAACTTCTAAACTAACCAATGAGCTGAGGCCAGGTGGATTCTAGAATGATCCGTCCCACTTGTTCATAACAGAAGCATAATTCTGTTTGGAGCCAAGAAAAACGTGTTTCCTGAATCACGCCTTCCCTTTCTTCGGTTTGATCAATCGCGCCATCCTTTTGCCGTAGACCACGCCTTCACCTTTCTTTAAGCTGAACTGGAAAGACTTCTGCACTCCATGACACCCATCCGACGTCGTTCTTCTCGTATTAACGTGGCCACTGGTTCCACTCCTCCGCGGCCGTTCCAGTTTGCTTACTAGTAACTTTCATCTCTTCCTCTCCTTTTTTTTAATTTTTTAAAATTTTCTTTTCAGTTATCTAGGATATGCTTAATTTAATGAATTTGTTGAATTATTGCTTTTTGATTATTTTTTAGAGTTATTGCTTAATTAAGTAGGAAGTTGGGTATGCTTAATTTAGTTAATTTGTTGAATTATTGCATTTTGATTAACTTTTTGGAGTAGTGTAGGATTGCCAATTTTGTAGGGGTGGGACCAGAAGTCGATTTCATGGTTGATATATACAAGTACTTTTGTGTAGGGGTCGATGGAAATGTTGGTTCTTTACTAGAGAGAATAGTTTATGATTGAAATATGAAGCATTCAATTGGGTTCGCTGCAGCAGGTTGTTAAGGGTTTTTCCTGAAGGTGTTGATCAGCCATGATTTACACAGCCATCGACACATTTTACTTAACTGATGAGCAACTAGAAAATTTGCCTTCTAGGAAGGATGGGATCGATATAGCTACCGAAACTACATTACGAATCTATGGTTGTGATCTCATCCAGGAGAGCGGGATTTTGCTCAGATTGTATCCTTTCTTTGCCTCTTTTTTTTTTATCTTTTTTCTTTCAGTTTTAATTCATTTTAATGCTATGCTGCTTTTATTTGGTTCTGTTCAAATATGAGAATGTGGATGGTAAACTACTATGGATCTCCTAGATATAGTTTTTGGAAAATTCTTGGTTCTGATAAAGTTTTTTTTTTTTTTGAGGTTCTTTCTTGTTGCTTTTGGATTTTTGGTTTTCCTTCATTTGGTTGTTTCCAGACCTCAGGCTGTCATGGCAACTGGCCAAGTTTTATTCCACCGGTTTTATTGTAAAAAATCATTTGCTCGTTTCAACGTGAAGGTATTTTTCCTTCTTCTTATCCCATCCAACTTCGGTTCTTCATATTTTACTTTCTTAAGTTTATCTAGATGGGCAGCAATGTTTGTTTATGATGATACAATGGCTTTATTTGTGAATTGTCAGAGGGTTGCTGCGAGCTGCGTCTGGCTTGCTTCAAAGCTTGAGGAAAGCCCTAGGAAAGCGAGACAAGTCCTTGTTGTTTTTCATCGTATGGAATGTAGAAGGGAGAACCTGCCAATTGAGCATCTGGATACGTCTTTGAAGGTTAGAACACTTTTTTGACTAATTAGTTCTTTTACATGGTGATTGTGAATTTGACTCATCTTTAAGGATATTGGTGATGTCCATTAAACAAAGTTCCCTTTCTTATTCATACTTTCTTGGGTCTCTTTTTTTCTTTTATGGAGGACAGAAATATGTGGAGTTGAAGGCAGATTTGGTTAGAACAGAAAGACATCTTTTGAAGGAGATGGGCTTCATCTGCCACGTGGAGCATCCACACAAATTCATATCGAATTACCTACGGGTGCTTGAAACACCTGAACTGAGTCAAGAAGCTTGGAATCTGGCAAATGATAGGTAAAGATCAACCTGAAATTAATTCCTGTTGCTAACTGGTATTACTTTGTAAGGCCAATCTACTTCGTAATTCAAGACAAGTCTAACCAATGTTGAAAAAAAGGGTTACCTAATGCACTGATATGCTGTGTTGTTGGTTGAAATTTGAAGGTGGTGACTTTTATAATTTAGTGTAGCAAAATGACAAAATTTGGCAGCTCATTAGCCCACTTACATCCCTTAACGACGATTTTGATACCAACTAGATGCTTTTTCCAATAGCTTGGATGTCTCTGAATTCTTAGAAACATTCAGCTCTGCCATTTTGTGTGTGTGTGTGTGTGTTTGTTGCCACATGGTCTTCTGAATTTTAACTGAACTATAGTCTTAGGAGGTGTGCAATTTTCTGATCTTGCAAGCTTCATGAACTTAAAAAATGCAGAAGTGTTTCAATGTGTATAGTATTCATTCTCTAAACCTGAAAGTGTCAATAGAAATAATAGCAAAAAAGAATTATCTCTAATCTCAGAAAAGCATTAAGCTATAGCTTCATATTGAACATAAGGGGGGTCTTCATATTTGGAAACATGTTTGATCTTTATCAATGGAGCTAAACATCAAGCTTTTTGCGAGTATGTCTTTTGTCATTTCATTCTTAGATGCAGGGAATTTGAAAGAGTGATTCCAAGACTAGAGCTTGAATTTTTCAGCTTTCGAAAAACAACATTTTCCTCTTGATGAACAGATTCTTTGCACAGTACATTTTATTGAGAAAGGAAGTGATTAAGTTGATGTCTTCCCTCGTACAGTTGAGTTGTTGCTAAAGTATGGTAGTTTTGGTCTCCAATATGCTTGTTCATGTGACCTTTATGTCAAGCACTTGGATTTTCTGTGTTTCTCAATTGGCCAGTAAATCTGCAATTAAGAAATTCATGCGGCAAGTAAAACTTTAGTTCTTAAAGTTTAAGATTGACATTTAATTACTGAATTTTCATTTGTTTCTGCTTGTAGATCTGGGATGCAGCACATGGGATAGATGATGTAGATTTTGTAAAATAAACAAAGGATGAACAAATCAATGGAGGGTTGGGGGGGGGTGAAACTTGGAAGCACAAATAGGGGGGTTTGAGTAATTTTGGAATTTCTCTGCAGGAATTATTATATGTTGTTTTTCACTAGGGCCGCCATCTAGCTGTAGAAGATTTTGGATAATATAATGTAGAAAGCTTAAGTACTTACCACAGCATAAGGAGGAAAAAGACTAGAACAGCGCTCAAAAGATGTGTCAGTGACAGAAGTAGAAGGGTAAGTTAAATGACCTACTGATGGGATATCACTTAAAGATAATAGCAAAAGACCAGTTCAGGAATTAGGTGCTTCAACATCTTTTAAGACAACCTCTATTGCAGGCAGATCTCAAACCGTCTTCTCCTGCAGATTTATTAAAATTTTACAGAGATATCTAGTTTAAGGTGACATGAGTTTCTCATTCATCTCATTATTAGTTATGGGGTTTTATCAGTCATTAAGTTGAACTTTGTCAAACATTATATCAGATATTTGTGAGTATCAGCAATAAATGTCTCGTGGGCATGGATATGGGCTTGAAACCTGAGCCTTATCTTGGACCTGGACGTGGTCTAGGACTTTGAGAGACTTTAAGACATATTTGGTCCTTGCATACATAAATTGGGTTGGGATAGGTATCAAGCTGTAAGATAAGACAGATTTGGCCCAAATAACTGCAATATTTCCAAGTTCTACATTCAAGTGTGCTAGCAAGGATTCAGAAATTTTCACTAAGGAATATAAATTCAATGGTATTCAGAAGTTTACATCAATTGCCTTGATGACATTTGCCATTTTCTAGCACCACTTTTAGCTATTGCATTTCCTTATGAAAATTTAAAAGCTTGATGTCTTGGTTGAATAGTGAATATTGAATTTATCTCAGTATTCTATTTACTTTCTAAAGAACTAGAAGTTGGGTTCACTTGCTTTGTATGGGATATGACTTCATGGTTTTCTGTGCATCTTTCTCTTCTGATAGTTTCCTGCATTGCTTATGCATCTTTGAGCAGCTTGCGAACTACTTTGTGTGTGAGATTCAAAAGTGAAGTCGTGGCTTGTGGAGTTGTTTATGCAGCAGCTCGTAGGTTTCAGGTACCCCTACCTGAGAATCCTCCTTGGTGGAAGGCATTTGATGCAGACAAATCTGGGATAGATGAGGTTTGCAGAGTACTTGCCCACTTGTATAGCCTTCCCAAGGCACAGTACATTCCTGTATGCAAGGATGGAGGGTCATTTACAACATCTAACAAATCATGGGATTTATCGCCTCAGCCACCAAGGGTTAGTTTTCTCTGTTTTGCTATGCTTAGGCATGCATGTTTGGTGTTTTTAAATTTTAGTTTTTACTGTGGTTCAATCGGTCAAATGTGTATCGTGTAGCATTATAAATGTATGAATTGATTTATTCTTTGTTAAATGCAGGAAGGATCCTTGAGTGTCCCACCTGCAAATGATAATAATACCAGCCCCAGGGGGACATCTACTGGAGCCAATCAAGAATCAGGCAAGGATGCACAATCCAAAGCTGCTTCAGACAAATTAAACGACTCGAAGAAAAGTGATGGAGAATCTAGAAGCTTGCCTACCGATGGAGACTCAAGAGAAGAACCTCTTTCAAAATCAATGTCTGAGCATAAAACAGAGGCAAGCGAGGAAAGGGACAAGAATGAAAGGGACAGGGATCGCAGCAAGGAGAAGGAGAGAGTGAAATCCCGGGACCGTGATAGGGGAAGGGAATCTGATCGGGAACGAGAACGGGAACGGGAAAGAGAAAGGGAAAGACAGGACAATGAGAGAGACAGGGATAAAATTAAGGACAGGAGTCATCGCTCAAGGGACAAAGGTAAGTATGTTTTAGTATATTTGCAGATTCGCAAGCTCTTTGCAACTTTTCTGTCTTAGTGAAAATGAACGACTCGTCATTTGATATTTTTCGCTCACACTTCAGGGCATGGGGAGAAATCGAAACATCACTCTTCTCGAGGTAAGTAAATCAGTTATCTGATGATTTTTCTTGGGCAAACTGTTGCTATAATAGACCTTTTTTGAGTTACGTTTCATCTGTTGTAGATCGCGAGTACCACAGTTCTTATTCATCGAGGGAGAAGGATCGCCGCAGGCATCATTGATAGGATTATGCTGCATTGTGATGCGAGCTGCATTTCTGTTACTGAATTCTGCAGTATCAGGTTTGTTGATGCCTGAACGGCAAAAAGAATGTAAAGAGCTGACTTTTCTTGCATAGGGAAACTTAAAATGGTCACTGTAATCTTTGTCACGGGGGGAGGAGGGGGGTAAAATGTCTCACAATGAACAATTTCAGATTACAAGTTCAGAATTTGGCTTGTTTGGACTAGAGATTTAAGATATTACTGCAAACTATATTAAATATGATCTGATTCAACTGAGCCGCATATTTGAGAATATTGCCGTCACCCATATTGATCTGCAAATGCTTTTCCTTGTTACAGAGAAAATCCACGAGGAAAGTGTGAAAATTCAATTCCTTAATCGACCGCATATCAACATCATATTGCCAGGACAGTGTTTATTCTTTTTGGCTAAACCAGGAAGTGCAGTTTAGGACTCTGCAGGTCCAAGCAAATACCAAAAAGAAAAGGCAAAAAGTATTTTATCACTTTCCGTTCATTGTTTCGATTGGGCTCAATTTTATCGGAAACTTGTTTTACAAATATCATTGGGAAAAACCCTACTTCATACTTCACATTGTTTTCAAGACATTTATGTTTTCGAAGAATTGATTAGCAGCAGTAAAAGACATCAACTACGGTACTTTGGTCAGCAAATCGTATAGCATGTCTACCATCTAAGGTGGAATGAATCTGCAAAACATTTACACTGTATCGAGTTGTTTCGTGTTCCAGATTCAACCAACGACTTAGCAAAATGTTCAGCAGCAATTAACGTACGAATTTGTGGTAGTCTCTATCTCTAAACTATCAGTTACTTTCTGCAGTGCAGAAGTTCGGAAACGCCAGAAAGAAGATGCCTGAAAAGTTTGGTAATGTCATCCAATTAGGTATTTTGGATCTTACTTTCGATGATCATTTTGCTATCATCCTTGCGTTAACAACTCGATCGGAGAAGAATCTGTGAACATATTCCATAAGTCTTATTTCTAAGGGAAAACATTGCATAATTTTAATTAACTTGGAAAGATAGTTCATGCTGCAAACAGAACGAAAAAAAAACACACACACACACACCAGAAATTACATTTCCTGCCCTCTTGCATCATCCCAACCCCTAGAAATGCAGAAAATATTGATGTAATGTTCATCTACTGTTATCCGTTTGTTCAAGTGTCTCTGTGATCCTTTAAAATGGTAGAACAGATAGCATGGCAGACATCAATGATCCAGCGAAGTTCACGCTAAAAAACCTCTCTCTTCTGATCTTATTGGGATAATACCTGTGTCCTCAAATTAAAGTGAATGACAACAGATAGGTACCTAGACCAAAGCATATCAGGAATCAGGTTCTGACGAAGACACCATGCAGGATAATGATCTAGCTCCAGGGCTCAACTTGCAAACTCCTTTCCCAGCAGCATTTTAAGTTCTTTACATGTTATATTCATGTCTCAAAACCAATAAGCAATGTAGAAAGGTTTGTGCTATAAGACATTGCACTTGCTTGAAAACAAATTTAGATGGGGACAGACATCCATACTCTACTACCTACTCATATGTACTTGAGGAAGACCAACAGAATCAAAGAATTGACATATTTCTGCCTCCGAAAAAAACATCTATTTTTGCTCTGCTATTTCTCCCTAGATATTTACATTCTGAAATTTCTGTTAGATTAAAATCCTAGAAGATTACATGTTAAGCAACTTTTGAGCATTTTAATAGTTCAAACCCCATAAAGGGTTCCCTGGCCTGAAGCATGAACAATATCAGGAAAGTGAGGTTTGATATCCCTGCTACGCATGTAACTCAGGAACTGTCCAGGTAGTTCTTCCAGGAGAGCCTGAACAACTGATATCTCTCCACCTTCACAAAGTTAGCCAAATATCAGGTCATACATTAGGTAGAGGAAAGCAAGTGAAGGGGGGAAAAACACAAGGAAAGATTGACAAGCAAAGAGATTTTAAATTGTGCTGAAGCTGCCAACAACTTAAAAGTAACTTCTTAAAGGAGAATTTAATCAGAGACCTATGCTGCTCTATAAAAGCATTGCATTTGCCATTTTAAACAACATGCACTCCACCGGTCCATCTCCAAGATCTTCCACACAATTTATATTAACGTTGGTTGTAATTCTCATTAACACTTAGCAACTTAACTACCAAAAATCCATTCATGACACGAGACAATCTTGCTGGAAGTTGATTATTTCTACAGCCTGTCTTCTACTTAATATATAATTTCATAAATAGAAATTTAAATAGCTTCATGGTTAGTGATGACAGTCAATGCAATGCCAACTGTGAACCAGTCAGAGGTCCAGGAAGAGTAAATAAGAGAAGAATCTTCAAAAACAGGCTCTAGCTTCAGAGAAGGTTCCTTAAAGATGTTCAAGAACTTGAAGAGGGCAATGGAACTAATCAAGGGGATTGGATTTTACAACAAAACCTTCAAGGCACCTATAACTATAGTCGCGACCATAGTTTACACTCCTGATCGCATTGTGTTTAGTAAGTATTTAAGGCAATAATTGCAATTAGGTATTTAGTCCAACAACTTAATTATTGGTCAAGATTCTACTAGTAACTTTGAATAAATCTGTGATCATATATTACACGGTAGTCGTTAACATTTCAAAGGTTAGAATTACTTCTGCAGACAATGAGAATGGAGAATTAGAATAGTTTCACTGTAAGTACTAGACACAGTACGAAAATGATTAATTTGTGAAATGATTCAAGTTCTCCAAGTACCAAAAATATTGTGCCTCTTTCAATATCCTTTATTCCTCTTAGTGTACATATACTTTTCAGTCAGTCTTCAGGCATCAGAACCCATATTCAATCTTAACTCATCTTGCATCCAATCCATTTATCAAGCCAAAACCAGAACTTCAGACTAAGGACCAAGTATAGCCTCAAGATGGTTATAACTTTCCTTTGCTACCATGCATCTCGTTTCTTAATAAGTTCTCAGTGTCTTAAGTAAAGCACTTATAAACCGTACCACTTCAATTAGCTTAAACAACTTGAGCATGATCCAACTACAAAAGTCTCCACCAAATCCAACTACAAAATTCTCCACCAAGTTCAAGATCTTAGTGCCTTTTGAATCCACTAACTAAATACTGAAAGCGAGTAAAAGATAACTCGTTTCTCACAATCTGGAGACTTGGATCACACCAACAGTTCACAGTCTATTGATAGGCTGTCACAAACACCGCCAACCTCCCCCCCCCCCAAACCCAAAAAAAACTGAAGCGAAAAACACAGTAACTGAAGAAAGGAACCATGCAGAGTAAAAGGTTCAACATTCAATGAAATGAAATCCACGAGCTAATTAACAACAGCCAAGTGACTAGATGCCTATAAAAGCTTGGCCAGTTATAACAGGCAATAACAAGATATCTTGTAATAGGGTAGTTCTAGTTCCATCGCAATTGTCCTATGTCAACTAAATTGTTAATATAAAAGCTAGAAATTCAAGGTGTTGAATACCTACCAAAAGATGCAAAATAACCACTAAAATTACCGCCAGAAGAAGAATAGGTATATTTACATAACAAGTGGTCTTTCTATTAGAAAAGAACCATATCCTAATATAAAGCAAGTGAACAAGCACTTACGGTGTACTTCACGCATAGGAACAAACTGAACTATGTCGCGGGTAGCTACCCTTCCAGTTGAACTCTCTAATCGGTGTCCATCATCAGCATCAAGGACCTGCCAAATGTTTTTCACATGCAAACTCGTTACATGGACCTAGTCAAATTCCAGCTAAAAAAGTTATAAAATTATTACAGTAAGAATGTACCTCCATTTGCGTAAAATCTGCTCCGCCAACTCCAACAATAAGGATGGAAAGTGGCAGGTCAGATGCCCTGACCAAAGCATTTTTAGTTTCTTGGATGTCACTTACGACTCCATCCTACAAGAAAGCAAAATTTGCCAGATTTCAGGAGCAAAGAGTAAAAATACGCTGCAAAGACAATAAAATTCAAGTATTTACTTTGCATACCGTTATAATTAGCAAGATGAAATACTTGTTCTGGTTGACAGAGAGGGAGCCACCAGCAATTTCTGCAGCCTTGTTAATAACTGGACCAAACAATGTGGGCCCAGAAAGGGTGACATTATACAGCGTACTTGAATAAGCAGCCATAATGCCTTCTATACCAGTAACCTACAATAAAGAATACCAATCAAATGAAACCACTGTCACAGAATTCAAAATTTAATTAACAAAAAATTCATGTTTTAATATTAATAGATGGACAAAACATATGCAAAGTTGGCATAAATATAGTCAATTTCAATGGCATCTCCTTGACTTCTCAATTGGTTAAGTGGTATACCCAACAATACAACGACAAGGATTAAGTGCAATAGGGGATCTCATTTAATTCTGATACTCTTAAATAAGCGGGAAAAAAATCCTCAAGCTACTACAATTTTACTCTGCTAGTGTCCCTGTTTGAATCAAACATTTTTTTCAATCTAACCAACGTTCCAGCTCACGTGCAATGGAGAAATTGATGTGAGAGAGAAGTGAATTTTGTTACCCAAATTAGAATGGCAAAACATCATAACATGGGAGAATTTTTAAACTAATATTTAATTCCCTCGGCTGCTTTCATAACTTATTTGATTAATTTGGCAAAAGAAATTATATTACTTCTTGCTTGAGCTTATTTGTCCTGGCATAGGTGGATATGCTGAAGAAGCGACTAATAATACCAACATTCTAGACCCTGAAATTTATAACATTTAAAGTTCCAGGGTTATGACTTCCCCAAAATATCAACACTGTGTGAGAGCAAATTGCGCTGACAAAATATATTGACATTTTAATAATAGACATTATCTCTCATCCATCTTTTGATAGTCAAAAAGAAATAAACCATGAATATGCTCATCAGTAATCATTGTTAAGGAGTTTCAGATACGTACTAATGTCTGTAACCCATTCCTAAGGCCTGTATCATTGGTCTTAGCCAAAATATGTGTCTACAAAAAGTGATTGCGGGTCATGGGACCATCATCAAATAGAACATCAGGAATACAATCAAAGTTATCTGTCTCTCTTGTAACTTGAAAGTGAATTGTACCATCTAAGATCACATAATTGTGAGGGCCTTTTGAAACTAAATAATCAAACGCTAGCATAAAATAATTTTCTGTTGCTTATCAGCCAATCCAAGATAAAGATAACTGAATGCAGGAAGCACTGCAAATGGAATCAAGTGATATGGATAACGCACAAGATGTTTTCAGATAAATAGTAACTATAAAAGAGATTGCTACCACAGAGTCAGTAGGGATTCCGTTCAAGTTGAAACAATGGGACACTGAACCATCAAATGTTCTTGCACCAAAACCCCAAGCTGGAAAGCGTCTATCAGAGTCGTAAAACTGTATAACTTCCCCAACCTCCATTATAGCCTGTAATGATTTTCAGTTAATAATTCAACTATAAGCTTTTAACATCTGAAGTACAAGAAAAAGAGGATTGCATTTCATAAAATTTTCAGCTACTTCCAGATAAGTCATAAATGCAGACACAGGAAACTAAGGGCATTATGTTAGCTTTGTGAACTGATCCAATTAAATTCCTGGCAACAATATAATAAGTTCTAGAAAATTATGGCCAATATATACATCCAATTTATGTCATCATCCATCTACTTAATACAAGTGAAGTTTTTAAGTATATGGTTAATTTAGAAAATTTCAGATATTCTAAAAAGCACAACAGAAGAGATGACCGGAAATGTATAAGGAAGTTAAGAGAGAGGCAAGACCAACTTTACCTGCTGGTAAGCATTCAGGTGCCCTGAAGGATCAATATAATGCAAGGAGTCTGAATTGTGAGGAATTCCATTTGAAGCTGAATAAAATGGAAGTTAAAAGAGGAACAGGATACTTAAATAGAAATATGTGGAGATTGACCAAATAAGAAAGATATAACCAAATTGTTAAAGGCCCAAAAAGGGTTTAAGATTACTTACCAGTAAAGTCAACTGCAACCATGAAATTAAGCTCAAACCCACTCGAAATGTAATCAAGGAAACTGTATAGTTGCTTCTCAATATACCCATCCACAAAGAGCTGACCTTCAGTAATCTACAAATAGGTAATGCAAGAAGATTGGATATAAAAAACATGCATCAGATGATGTATGACGGAGACATACACACAAGACAAAGGTCATATCCATTGGCTAATGGAAACAGATCCATAAAGCACCGATAACTCATGCATAGAGGAGATAATTAAACCTTTTCAACTCGCCGCAAATGAGATGGGGGTAAAACAAGATTTACACCAGATCTAGTTTTGTGAAGGTGTTCCAGCTCTGCCACTGTTTTTTGCAGTTTCCTGTTAAGATTTGAAGTTATGTCAATAGTTATGACTCAAGAGGAACAGGTGGAAGGAGGAAAAATGAACATTGAACATTAAGCAGAACCATTGAGGATAAAATAATGGAACATTAGAAATCATAAAATAGAGTACCAAAAAAGTGGAATGAGAAAAGTGAAATTACCCAATGAGGACATGATTGCCACTGCTGTTGAAATCAAAACACTCAATGATCACCGGGTTATCCTGCAATGCAGATCTTTATTAATATATATAGAGTGCATGCAAATGTTAAATATGGGGGTTATCCATGCTGTAACTTCATTTATTCCTGTGTCTATGACTTCTCCAATCTAGCCTGGGTCCATTTTCTCCAATTCTAGCTTCATATATCTTCCTAATTTATCATTCTTGTAACCTCCTCCCTGATTTTTCTTTTCCCTCTATTTAATCTCAAGTTTGTTTTGCTGGAAAACATTTCCCAGGAAATATTTTCCCTTTATTTGGGTATTAGGCTGCATGATATGTCAGGAAATTTTTCCCGAAAGAAAAAGGTTTTCCAATCAGATAAAAACAATTACATAAAGCTTTCACTGAAGAAGTTTCCAGACCAACACTAATTCCTCTTCCAAAACAAAAAGCTTACCTTCTAAGTGGCTCTTCCTCTTTAATTATTCATCCTCTCTCAAACACACTAATTCATCGCTTCCTTTTCCTCTCTCATCTCTAACACACATTTACTTATTCCTCTTCCTCTCTCTTCTTACATATAGGTGGAGACAAAGAAATCCATGACATGGATTTGAGGGAGGGAACTCCAGTAAGGCATTGAATTTGCTTGGATCAATTGGTGGCATCTTGTTGGGTACATATCTTATTCAATACTTCTTAGAATCATTCCTGGGCCTTCTATGATTATGAATGCATACAAAAATAATTTCGATTGTCTTTTGGCTGGTAGTGGTTAAAAAGTGGTGGTAATAGTACTGGCATATCACTAGTTGTCAGGAAATTATTATCAAAAGTCAACCACACATTATAAAATATTGGAAAAATCAAATATTGTCAAGAAAATGATTTCAGCAATCATATTTTCTAGGGGAAAACATTCTATAGGCAAACAAACGGACCCTTGATTCGGCAAACAGCAAGCAGGAAACTACCTTGCTCATGTATTGTTGCATGGTTAGACACAGCGGTTTCCAGACTGGATTCAAGTTGTTGTTTATGACTTCTGTCTTGCAAATTGGAATGGAAACCCCACTCTCAGCAATCCTAGAGATTCTAAGAAAAGGATCCTGAAAACAGTAAAATAAGGTTGAGGTAAAAATAAAGTTGAAATAGCTTCAAGTTCATCACAATTGATATTTACAAAATCCATACACTTTTAGAAAACAGATCCTTGTTATCAAGATGATAACAACGAAAAGTCATCTCCACAGCATTCCTTGAAGCTACAGTTTCTTCTGCTTGGACAGTAAGAGTACCCAAGTTTTTCAAGCCATGACCATCTTGATTGTGAAGATTCAAGGTCAAAGTTCTGTTTCTTTTAGTAACAATCTGAAACCACAAAAACTCAACATTATAGACTGTATCGTTAATGAAAAGGATGAAGCAATCCAATTTCATAGCGTCCATTATCAGAAAAAGACAATGCCATCTCCATTTCAAGTTTGCTGATATATGAAGCATTGGAGCAACAATAAAAAGACTTCATAACATATAAAATCAAGAAAATAATCCAATCTACTATCCGGAACCATAAAAACCCAACATTATAGACTGTATCAACAACGAAAATGATGAAGCAATTCAATTTCATAATGTCTCTTATCAGAAAAAGTCAATGCCATCTCCATTTCAAGTTCGCTAATACATGGCACATTGGAGTAACAGATAAAAACTTCATAATGTATTAAAGCAAGAAAATAATCCAATCTACTATCTTCATTATAAGCAAGAAAATAATGCAATCTACTATCTTCAGACTTTTTGTGTATATTTGTGGATACTTCAATCTTCATCTCTTTTGTTTCCAATACTTTTTATGCTAGCTAATTCCCCATAATCTTAACTTATGGCTAACATTCCAAAAATGGAGGTCTCTAATAGGACTAATCAGAAAAAATATTAAGAATGGAGATTTAAAGGAGAATTTACCAACTATATAGATTACCAATCCTTAAACTTGGAACCGAACAGTTTAGAATAAGACTATGGATGGCAAAAATTCAAAAGTAGAAACTCAGCATAAAACTCAAAATCAGCATCAAGTCTACGAGAATTTCTAACAGTTATGACTTATAGTGTGCACACAGGCCACTCCACCCATTCCCCGGCACCCACCTTAATGTTGCCTCGGAGAAGGGTAAAGACTGCATCATTCCCAAGCACAACAGTAAAAGACACTTATTTCCAGGTACTAACACAATTCACCAACCCAAAATAGACTACCACATTAACTATGTCTGCAGCAACACTAATGTGTTACAGTTGTCAACAAAATGCAAGTAACTCACCTCAGAGAGAACACAACTAGCTTCACCAAGAAAATCTTGATCCTTCAAGTTCAAGTTCTGCAAGTTTGCAACGACAAAGATTCGCATAAGCTTCCATACAGATCTGAAGCTTAAAAGCTCCAAAATTTCATGAACCAAATCAAATGCTATCTCAATCTAAAGAAGCATCATTCAAACACGTTCAATCCTTAAGCTTGATGTACAGCATTGGACACTACTTATTGATTAGATGAAAAGTTGAACTATTCTGTTCTTTACTAGTGATCAAACAGTATCAGTGATTCAGAAAAATCCCACATTTTTTCAGTATGGTGAAAATCTCACAGTAAGTGGAGTATCGGAACTGCATAATTTCTTCAAAATCATTAGCTTTACCAATCTTTTAGGGGTAGCTGTACAATCCAAAAACTAACTCAACAATTAACAAATAAAAATCAAGGTTCAATGACTACAACTCGAGACATTTATTGAGCACAAAATATCATCTCTGTGTATTGCAAATATGGTAAATGATGAGTCCCAACCCAAAAAAAAAATTGTAGAAGAACTGCATCAAGAGCAGATAGTACAGCATAGCATACCTTCACAGGTAAATTGTGGTATTGCGAATCAATGTCATAAACATGAAAGCTGCAAGGGGTGACAAAAGATAGTCAAGATGCTATGAGCACAAAAGGAAGCAAATAAGAGGTTGTACAAAAGCTTACATCAATGGCTGAGCAATCTCAAATTGATAATTGACACTGATTTTTTGAATCCAAGCAGGTTCCAGATTATTCATAATCACTTCTGTTCGACCAAGTTCTTCAAGGGTTCCATTCCTTTTCTTTGCATAAACCACGGCCATTGGATCGCTCTGTTGCCAGGTAGAAAACAACATTCACTTGTAAGATCCTTAAGTTTGCAAGACCAAGATTTTGACAGCCAACTAATCAAGATTACAGTACTAGAGCACCAGCTAAGATGCCAATAAGGTATGAACGCTGACTGCAAATACTGACTTATTAGTGATGGAGCAGAATGAAATGAAGGCCTTGAAAACACAAAGATCTTGAAACTAACTCGAGAAAATGGTAATGTTGCAACTCTAAAATCCCAAAGTTTGAAATTCCTAAATCCAGACTCTTTCCCTATTTTATAAAACTTCCACATGACAAGAAGTAGAGCGGGTTTCAGTAACTTCCGAGGAAAACTATTTACATAGCCAGAGAAGTACTTGATAAGAAAACTTCCCAAACTCTTTTATCTTCAACAGTCAGTCTCAAATTTTAAACCCAGAAAAGCCAAAGCAATAAATGGACTTTCATAGAAATCCATAAAACATGAGACCAAATTTAAATGTATAACCAGACTAATTACTTGTCACTCTACAGTTTAGGTGGGTATACAAATAATGGCCTCTTGATTATTTAGACCCAGAGGAAAATTGATGACCAACGAAATACATTTACATATGTGTACATGTACACCATGCAAACAGACAACGGACAAACACATGTACAGAGAAAGAGAGAGAGAGAGATTTAGATGGCCAAACTCAATATGATGTACGAACCTTTGAGAAAATATCACGATCACGCAACTTTGAAGCTGACAAAGATAACTGCAGGTGAAAACTCTCAGTTAAACCACAGTCTACGTGATGGACAACAAAATCAAATAGGATCCTTCTATAAACAAAACTTAAATACAAACAAGAATGATATTTATATGGAGAGAGAACTGGTTCAGATATGTTTGCGTAGAAATCTATACAAAAATCAACTTCCAACTGTTGTATTTTTCCTATTGTCAGCAGACGCATTCCAAATTCAGAAAAATACATTGATCATCTGAATTTGTTGTATTTTCAACAGTCTAAAAATTGTAGTCACCTTTCAAACCCATGCATTATAAACCCCTATAATTTTTTCATGAGTCCATTGCTTAACTACCAAGTACTAGTAACTGCACTACTTTTCCAGATTATATAAAAGGTAGATGTTCTGTCTTTTCCGAAGGAAAACTACTTTTAATGTTGAACCATGCTAGAAAAAGGATGAGTTTTCAGAAACACGCAACTTTTATGATAATAATGCTGGAAGAAACCGCTTCGTACGATAGATGGTCATCAACGTTGCATGATTTATGGCCCCACAACATAAGGACCACCATCAGTTCTATGGCCACTTTCTAAGGAATATTAGTTTTTATGATAATAGCATGTCTCTTCAGAAAAAATAAGGTTTCCACTGCAAGACATACATTTCTACATACTGAAACCAGTGCAAACAAGAATATATTTTTGGTAAGCATTCTTTTTCTACTGTCAGCAAGACAGACATTGGCCCAACTGGAAATCCAGTATGAGATAACTTTCTGCAACTGCTTAAGAAGGGGAAAATTAACTAAATTGACCCATTATTTCAAAAATCCAATAATCATCTCCAGCAAAACCTCCAGTGTCACATGGTTCACAGGAATGGAAAAAGGAACAAGACCCTGGATAAGTTTCACCAAACGTTATGCGAAAGATAATTCCTATTCCATTTTCTAGTGACTTGTAAAACTTTTTGTCAATCTAGAGTGACTTGACTTTTACCCTTTTTCAATGAGTACTAGAAATTTCATAACTAAATAATTTAAAGTATGCAACATATATAGCAAGATCTAAATATCACTTTACATATCAAATTCAAAGCAAAACCTATTTCCAACAAAATATTCAGAATTAGTCGGTATCAACGATGTTAAGGCAGCAGTTTTTCAATGATTACCACATGTACAAATAGAGCATTGTGTATTAATAATTTGCAAAATTACCATTTTTATGGATTCAAATTGCATTAACCAATCGGGAATCAGATTTATAATGTTTCCTCGCCAGATATATGCTAGTTCTTATAGATTAAGACACTTTTCAATCGTTGGACAACTTCAAAGTCAAAATAATCACCATCTTTTCAGGACTAAACAATCCACTCCTTTTAGGTGAATAACCTAACTTTAGATCAAAATACATTATTGATCAATTCCAGGCCAATCCACAGTGCCAGACAAGGCCTTAGAACAATGCCTAAGTATGCCATATAAGTCAACAGCGGAACATGGGCCGCATTTAGCTGAGAAGTGGATGCCCGCCATGGTACTCTTGACAAATTTTCTAATCACCATAAAAACTCAAGAATCACTACCCCTTTGTCTCCCTTTGTTTCATTTTACGGAAGGAAGAGAAACATATTTGGTTGCATTTAAGGAAGCAATGACAATAATTACTAGCAGTCCATACTCAACTAAATTATGAATACTGAAGGTGACTTATTGTGATACTTCAACTGTCGACAAGTAAATTGCTGGTGGTAATATGCATGTCAAAACAAGATGTCAATATCAATTGAACCATCGGCAGGTAAACTTATCACATGAAAGTGTCCAATATAGCCCAATATATGATTAACCCTTCATATATCCCACCATACGGTAATATCCTTAACTCTAAAGGATAAACAGGGAACAGTTTCCTACATTCTCATGTACTCTAGATGAAAATCCAACAGATTCCATCCCATTCCATTTTTGCATATTTATAAAGGCAATACTATAATTTTTTGAAACATGATAAAAGATCAAAAATCAGATTTACTACCAGAAATCACTGTCGGGTTGCACAAATATGAAGAAGATACTGCTGACAAAATACATAACTAAGAAAACAACTTAGCATGATATGGAATACACCATATTCTTCTTTTGTCCTTATGTATGGCTGAACAGCAGTATAAAATCAACAATTATGATCTTAATCCACTTTTTAGCTTTGTTTTCAGCACAATTTATAAAGAAGTTGAAGACTTAAGTTTACCCTTGATTTTTCAGCACACAAGAACAAAAGAAACTCCTGTTCTGGTGGCCTTTCTTCAAGACAATTAAGGAACAAGTTAATATACCAAAATATTTTACAATTTGTCACCAGAATCAAACAAAAGGTAAACTCTTCCAATAAACCTCAAGTTAAACTTCTAAGGATTTGATGAGGATGGAGTGAGTAATCAACTTATAGCACTACAATTCAGTTGGAGCATTCACAAGGCATCCTCCTACTAGCACACAATAATGGAATTAAATTAGGGCAGCAAACGTTTTTTACTATGCCCTTTGATGGAGGCCATTGTTGTTTTCCACAGATAGATTTCCTTAATCACATTAGTCTATTGCACACAAAATTTTTCGCTTTCAACAAGTTAAAAAAGTTAAAAGTAAACTCTCATGACTATCATATCTTTCTCTCTCAAATTTGTATCATGATTTTCTAGCTCACTAATAATCGACTTATCATCCTCCGTCTTACTTTCCATTTCAAATATCAGTTAGATCTTAGTTTTCTCTTTCACATTAGTCTATTGAATGCGAGAATCTTCACTTTTAACAAGTGCTTACTTGTATCTCGAAAATCATACTCATTCTTGAAACCCCCTTTTTTTATAATCTTTTTTCTCATCTTGAATCCTTGAAATTAAAGTGTACCTTACTTACTAGTCAGCATAATTCAAAATTCTTGAAAAGAATTCTAAAACAAAGTATGCATACCATAAAGAAAAACTCAAATATTAGAAACAAATGAAAACAAAAAAATAAAAGACCAATATATAAATACTGTAGACACTTTGAAAAGTCAGACAGCATAAACAATTCGTGTAAGTACGACGTTTAACAGAGACAATTCAATTCTGAACAAGGGTTTGGTTTATTGGTCCTATGTTGACCACTTTTTTTTTTTTAGATTAATTGTACAAGACAGACCTCGAGTTGCGTGCTAAGGGCTTGGTCACCTTTAGTCCGGAAGAAAAATTCCACAGCATCATTGAGCCCAGAGGCGGCGCCCCCGGCGGCGCTTCCAGCACCACGGATGCCCTGGGCCCCTGGGTGGCCCACAATTCCGCCTCCTCCGACAGCTTGTTGCCCTCCTTTCACATCAGAAAAGCATCCCCCCATTGCTTCTCTGCTTGTCTAACAAACTAACAGACAAACAATTTCCCAGTAACTCTCCTTCTTTCTCCCTCCCTACCTTCCTCCCTTCACTCCCATCAAAGAATCAGAAATCATCACGATCGTCTGAGATATATATAGAGCTCAACCCCATTATCCAGTCAGTTCTTTTAGCCCTCGCGCGTTGATTGAGTGAATTTCCGGGCAATTGCCCCTTTTTTGAAACATTTGCAATTGCGTTTTCAAATATTTAAACTAATTATATTTAAGGCGGTGACTCGTGACCAATTCTGTATTTCCACGCATTCTCTCGACCCTAGAAAGAAATCATTACGGTTGGCGCTTGCGAAATCTTGAAGAACAAGTTTGGTCACTGCCCACCAGACCAGACGCAGATTTAATTAACTAATTTATTCATGCGGGATTTGAATATTTTCGATCCCACAGCATGTTGAAGTTGCCAAGTGTACGTCAATTTTATTTTATTTTATTTTTTCTTTCCATGCACTTAAGCACTATGAAATTTTGTGGTTTATCCGTCAGATATTGGCCATACGGATCATAAATAATGTGGCAATCAACTTTTATTAGTGATTTATTTGTCAAATATTAGCTATATGAATCATAGGTAATATAATGTGACGATTAACTTCTATTGTGTTACGATACATAAGTTATGATTTTCACATTTTTTAAGAACCTAAACGAGAACATTTAACCAAGGTTTTAGTAATAATTTCGGTTCTCTACATTCGGTTATTATTCTGATTCAACAAAAGATTGGTCTAATTCTAGTTCGGTTTCGATTCGAGCTTGAACTGTGGCAACATGGAAAGCGAAAGAACCCATTTTCCTCATTCTCAATAGTATGTCATGTTGATTTTTAATTTTGTGGGTGGAACTTATCCATGTTGAGCAAATAGCGTTCTAGCATTCATGTTATGGCAGTAGTTATGTATTAGAAGATTTTGAATTTAGTGGGGGAAGGAACCATATCTACTTTGACCTGGACTAACTTGTTAAAGTTTTTCTTCATATTTATTATAAACCCGTTCTAACTAGGGAGTTTAACCGGTTAATACCATAAATAAATTAGCTACGCAGTCAGGCTAGGTTAGTAGTTGGACGGAATAAAAAAGTAACTTGTTGAATGGCCTATCGGTTCAATCGATAAAATCTTAAAAATGGGTCAATCCAGCTACCATTTTTACCCAGCCACCACCTAACTTGATGGGGGTGGGAGGCAAGGTTCAAATCAAACCTTATCTCCCACAAAAATGTCACATTTAAGTGTTTTACTTCAAAAAATTCAGACGGATGTGTTGTGCACCCGTTCGGTCCGATGGTGGTTCAGTTCCCTCCGAATTATTCCTGTGCCTCCTTAGGTCCACCCCCTCCCCCATAGCGTAGAATAGATTAGATTATACAACTGTTATCGTCTCCGAAAAAAAAATCAACCACCATTTTTACCCCAATTCTGTAATTATAAATATATTTTTTAAATTTGGATATATATTTTATTGTATTATTTAGCCATCGATTCAACTGATGAATCCACGACTGGACTACTAACTTGTTAAATAATTGGCCTTGCCAGGTTGATGTCCGAGCTGAATTTAACACCTATATATTTCTTGACATTTATTCGTTATTTTTTACTAATACCCTCTTCTATCTTCACAAAATTTGAGTATCATGACTCATGAATTGTCCTTAACAGGCTATTGTTTATCCCCACACTCTATTCTTAATCATTTGTTGTAATTTAATACGGTTAAAGTACAGTAAAATCTCTATAAATTAATAACCTTGGACTATACAAACTCTATTAATTTAAGGAGGTAATAATTAATCGATAAATTAATTATTAATTTATTGAATATACTTACAATTCAAAAAATACTCATTTAATCAACTAATGTTCTATTAACAAAAAGAGTCTAAAAATCTAAGAAATAAAAACCAATCCATATATATCTACTTGATTTACAAGTACAATTTAATTTTATTAATATCTTCAATTAATGTACGAACGTAACTAATATCATTTTTCTGTTATCAAGAGGAGGAATACTAAATGATAGATGCCCACTGCCATTTTATTAAATGCACTACATAAATGACAAGGAACTCTTTTTATAACAAATAAACATAAAGTTCTCTCTCTTGTCTCACTGTTAAACGATGGCTTCCCATCTGAAAGGCATTCACAAATTAATAGTAGACTCATATTTTAGGAAAATATGACGTGTAATTTTAGTGAATTATTAATTTACACTGTGACGGGCACCAAATAGTTATTTAAGGTTTTCAAAAAATATTATTATCTTATCCATCTTATTGAATTAACTTGTTAGCCCAAGTCAGGACCGAGAAAAGTTATTATTTGATAGAGTTTATCAATTTATGGAGGCTTTACTGTACTACTTGCTTATTCTCTTTGCATGTGCCTAAACTTTAGGTATAGTGAAAGGCCCTGCATGCATGCATGCATGTGGTTTTCATTCGTCGAAATTTCCCTATTGCGTTGTCGTATAATTAAGTGGTCATTGTCTCTCGTGACTCCCATGTTGGTAGCCTTTTTTTGCTTTCACGAACCTTATTATAATTAGTACTGTACTACCATTATTTTTGTAAAAGCTTGCTGTTAGCTTTATTAATTAATCTTAATTAAAAAGCTTTTATGCTCGTCTACTCATTTCAACTTTTTAGGGGGGCTAATAATGGTGGAGTTTACTTCCCTAAAGCAAGTCCACATAGCGGTCCGAAATCAAATATAGCAGACAAAATACGCTATGGGCATTGGAATTCCAAATTTTGATAGTGATAGGGAAGTCTGTCTGTCTGAAGGGGGTGGATTTTTGAAAAGTTGAAACACAGAAATGACTCTTTAATTTAGACGTATTGGATGCTTTTGCAATCATACGAACGTCATCAGGTTGACATCAGCAATTCTTTTTCATATGATCTCATATTCTCATAAAATGTTTGATGGGAGAAGGACAGGGTATCATTTGCTACTTTTGATACAAGTCAACAAATCAATTACAAAAGATTCCATTTCTTTAAAGACGATATAAGTCTGGTCGTTGCATTGTATTGTACCAAAAAACACAAGACAAGAGTTTGATCATTATTTATGGTTAACTTTGCAAGATAAAGCCATTGATGATTATAAAAGTTTGGTCACATGAATGAAACCTGCCCAATTGCATGTACGTAAAGCAATATGATATACATTTTGAGTGGGAAAGACTATCAGAAAATTCAGACAAGTTGTGCTTTAAACAAGAACTGGTAATTGCAATAGAAATTTCGTTCGAGTTGTTGTTTATTTGCTTCAATTATAAAGCTAAATTTATTATTAAGATAATATGCTATTATTAATATATGAATATCTTGTCACCGAAATCCTTAATATCTTGTAATTATAAGTCCATTACTTGGGTTATATATGTATTTCGTGTGGTGATATTGTCAGAGTAGAAAATTTCTTGCCAAAGCAATTTTTGACACAATATTAACATTAGATTAAATCTCATATACACTATTACGGCTGGATATACGACACATATGTAAAATTTGAGTTTCACATTCAAATTTGAATTATTTGTTATATATATAATGGTGAAAATATATAAAAAAAAAAAATTTGCAACCATCATTTGCACTAACAAAAATTTGCAACTAGTCATTTGGAAAAATATTTAAATGTAGAAATGTAATAACCGTGATTATGTGAATTTCAGTTAAATATAATTTAGATGTACTAACGAGTGGTCACTGAGTATTTGTTAGAAAAATCTTCTTTCTTATTGTTTATTTGCACCCAAAAATTGGCTATAAAATATGCCATCAATTTGTTAATTAGCTCCATCTTCTCGTTATTAATAATGTGTATCTAATAAGACTTAGAGGTGCTTTGGCAGGTTAGTACAGCTGGCCTCCTCTCGAGCTTCTAAAAGTCATCCTTTTCCAGCTTAGTAATTTTCTTTTGCACATATATTCGTCCCCCCTGTACTCATATTTGTGTCACATTCATCAAACCCTACCAAATATTAAACAGTTGGTATTTACGACAAGACCCCATTATCGACGTTACATTTACAAGTCAAGCATCATGTTCTGCTTCTACTTTTCTTCCTTTCCCATTCATATTGTACTCCAAGAGGAGTGTGGAGGCCACGAGCCAAATGCATCGAAAAGCATAAATAAGACCAGTACTCGGTTTCGGGCAATTGGATTGGATGGGAAAAAAAAGTTGATATATGTTGGGGAGTCAGCAGTCAAGTCAAAGTTGTTCAATGAGATACGTGGAGAAGAAGGTAATGTGTTTAATTTATATAATGAGATAACGCCATTTGGAAATTG